TTTTTTACTAGCAATAGCTTTAGTTGCCTTTTCAATAGTTATTTGAATACCATTATATTCTGCTGACTCTTTTTTAAGTTTTTTAGCTTCTCTTTAAGATAGATTATTTTATCTTCTAGTCGCTTAATTTCATTTTTATTTATATCAAACTTACCTTTACAGATCCAACAAGTATCTGCTTCATCAAATTTTTTCTTGTCTTCCTCAATTTCAATTCGATCAGCTTTAACAGCTAAGACTTATTGTTAGCATGTCTAGATCAGATAAAAAAGATACTACATGTGTTTGCTATGGATATAAATTTACAAGACCAGCTAAACTTCGTCAGCATTATCAAAGTAAAAAAATCAATGTAATCTACCTCCAGAAATTTCTAGTCAAAAGAAGGGTCAAAAGAAGGTTAATGTATTCAGATCTCATTCGCCAAGCCCTGCTTCAGCTTCAGTAGTCCATACCAAAGGAAAGGATCGAAGAAAGGAGAAGTCAAAAGTAGTTAATCCAATTCCAAAACTGCAATTAGTAATCTAAACTCCAGTTCCTGAGACAGAATCCCAAAAGAAAGCTCCTGTACTTGATCTAGACTACATCACAGAAGAGGGGGCAAAGAACAGGATCAATTCAAATATACGAAAGCCTGGTAAGCATTATAAAATATGGGGAAAAAGATTGGTTCAAAAGTGGAAAAAACTCGATTTAGGAGTTCATGATATACCAGTAAGCTTGGATGACTGTCTAACTCTTTATTATGATCTCGAACAATATGATTCAGAGGCAGTTTGCCCACCAACATTAAAGTGTTAAAGAAATATAGCAAGCTCTCTCTGAAGGAGGATCCTGAAGCCGGACTTGGCCCGATAACTCAAGCTTACAGAGAAGGAAAACATAGTGAGGTTGATCCTAGAACCAGTCCTGAGGCTTTATTCAAGTAGAGGATCTTATCTTTGAAGAATGCCCAGTTGGAAGAGATCTAGAAAGACCACATAAAAATCGGTCTTTAATGAGCAAATGGGTGGGAAAGTTCCCCAACCTAAAGACAATCGTGCATATACTTTTAATCAACCAATAGATAAACCAGAAGAATATAAAAATTTGCCATATATGCCTCAAATTATAGGACTAATTCGTCCAAAAATAACAGAAGTTTTCCAAACAGAGCTTCGTAGAAAAGACCAAATAAAATCAGAAATAGT